TTACTTTTTCCCCTCCCTCCTTGCCCTCCCTCCCTCACAAACCCTTGATAATTTATAAATTATTATTATTTTGTCATGTCTTACACTGTCTGACGGTTTTACCATGTGTTTTCCCATGGCGACCTCTGTGAAAGGGTCGTTTGACCCCCAAATGGGTTGTGCTACACTGGGCTGGTTGAGTCACTGTTCTAGGGGAAGTAACATGGCCCAGAAAAGCTGAAAGATGGCAAATATGGGTTAATTTCTTGGCAAAAGTGCCTGACTACTGATAGCCGGGCTTTTAGGGAAAGGAGGCTTGCCTCCGCCAACCCAGAAAGGCCCTGGGCTGGGCCGCTGCAAACCAGGTCGCTGTTTTTGGCAGATGAAGAAGTTGCTGTATTGTGATTATCAGCATCTGCCAAGTGTAAGGTAAATTCTGGCTGAGGGGAATTCTTATCTGACAGATAGCTGGAGGGGAAAGGCAATTCGGGTTAGTGTTGCTTGCAGCTAAACTCAGAGATCTTTGTTGTTGGCAAGAAAATAGGCCTTGCTGCCTAGTATTCTAATGGATGGATGGGGACTGAGCTGGCTGTGAGCCCTGGACTTTGGAAGTGAACTGTAGCTCACACATGCACACACACACATACACACACACACACATACACACACACACAACTCACACATCTGGGCAAAACATGAGTCAGCTTTCCAAAAAAAAAAAAAAGCCAAACTCACTGCTATCTCCTCGATGCTGACTCAGTGACTGGCCCCTGTGGGTTTCCGAGACCGTTAACTGTTACCTGGAGCAGAAAGTCTTTCTCCAGAGGAGCTGCTGTGGCTCGCAGCCCAATGCGTAACCACGTCACCACCAGGGCTCCTATAAGTCAGCCTTAACATTGTCTGAATTTCCCCTCCGGCAGGAGGACAGGTCCTCCACTGCAGGGGGAGGTAAAGAGCTCCGGGGTCTTGTCACTTGGAGGTGGGTGGGGTGCGCTCTGGGGCCACACCCCTCCAGCGAGCATTCAACGTGACAGCAGCTAACCATAGCAGACAGATAGTGTTGTCTGGTGTGGCTCCTCAGAAGGGCTCAGTCTCCCCTGGACTCCAGCCCCC